TTTTTTTTTGTATCTACATATTTCAGATTTTAACATAAAATTTGATGTTTTTTGCAGAATTCTCGCCTCACTGAATTTACCAGCTGCTTTGGATGATGTAACCTCGATGGATACTCTACCAGAATCTATAAAACAGAAGTCAGCAAAGGTGTATTATTTGACTAGTTATTGCTTATGTCTCAATCGATGAATTGGCTTGAGTGAATAATTTTTAAAATTTATCTGCGCTCGTCCAAACATCATCATGGTAACGAGAACAATGTTTCTATGTTTCTCTTATAGGTCAAACAACTCGGTGGACTGAATGAGCTCAATCGTCTGTTTAGTGAGTTGCCTACCCTGTACAAACGAAACGAAGAAATTCTGGAAGAGGTAACTTTTTTTTGAACGCTTTTTTTGTTTGTTTGAAAATGGAAGTTTTTAGACAAACCGGATGCTCAATGAAGAGAAAGAGAGTGATGACAACCTCAGACGCCAGTTTGGAGCGAAGTGGACGAGAATGAGCAGCGAACAGTTGACAGGCCCTCTTCTTCAGGTATACACACACAAATCTTGTTGTATAGAACAAAAACTTACCTGGTTTACAGGAAATTGGCAAATACCGTGGAATCTTGCATACTGCTTCGAACGCCGATAAAATGGTGAAGGATAAGTTTGAAGCAAATAGACCGGCCATAGAAATGTTAAGCAAAAACGAGGTAAATTTTTCTAAATTTTTCAGGCACTGAATTATCAATTTTTCGGCTTATGTAACAAAACTTTAGGTGGAACTACGAGGTTCTATTCCGAGTCAGAGTCAACATGCTACGGAAGGTACCACTGAAGCTGTCGAGAAACTGAAGGCATTGATGAACCAAGTACAAGAGCTTAAAGTTCAACGAGAAAAGCTAGAGAAGGTTCGATAACTCTATTCTTCCTTTATTGATTACTCATAAGCGTGATTTAGGAATTCAAAGACGTACGCTCTGACATCGCTAATGACCTTCTGAAGGCTTTGGCTGAAAGTCAAATTCTTAACGAAGAGCAGATCTCAAAGGAGAAAATCCAACAGGTAGATATCATTACCATTGTCTCCTCGGGCTTGTAGTTGATCTTTAGATCTACGGACCTCTGAAAGAGAAAGTTGAGGCTAGTATCAAACAACAGGAAAACATGATGGCGGAAGTTCAGGTAATGTTTTGCCCACTATTTCTACTTTATGCAACATTTTGATCTAAGCTACTGAATTGGAGCCTTGCCTTGGAGAGTAA